ACGGTTGGCAAAAGCCATCGTTCTCTAGATAACCAATCGTCAGTGGTTTGGAGCTCAAGTATGTCTGAGGACAAGACAAATACACAGTATATTCAGCTCCTTAATAATAAAAGTATTGATGCTTCTCTTTAAATAAAGGGTTTAGTTTACTTTTTAACTTAATGGTGAACAAATGTACTTCTGCAAATGGATGGTTTAATTTGCCTGTATCTGCTCATTGTCCTGTTGAATTTTCACTTGTCTGGGAGAATGTGCTTCCAAAATAGTACTCTTATCATTATAGGGCCAGCTCCAGGATTCTTTCAAAGCATCGTGATGAATCTATAAAATACAATATGTTCTTTTGTTTCCTGCACCACTGTTCTGGGAGTCCCCCCAGTGGGAATTTAATCGCATAAGCCTCAGTCAGAGTTGTTTACAGAAGTAGGTTCACTAGGTTACAGTACGCACCATAGTGAATGCTGGGGTTGTGGTTGAGAGTCAACTGAGGCCAGCCAATGTTCTTTCATATAAACTTGTATTACCTTATGAAACAGGCTTTGTGGAGAAGGGTATGGTGATGTCGAAAAATGAGAAGGCCTTCCCAAATTGCTGCTACATAGCTTAGAGCACCTAATGTAAATAATGTACTTATGTACTAATGTTGTAACATCACCCTTCAACTGTTGGAAAACACTAATTTGCTTTCTTTCTTCGATGGTTACATGTGAAGATTGTTTTGTGTAAAAAGCACTGGGGCCTGCAGCTGGTTAGTTTAGTACAAATACTGGAAATATGTAGCCATGCTCTGTCCAGAAGTAACAAAATTGTCCTACGAGCAATCTGAAGATTTCCAAATAACACTTTATGGTTTGTTTTTTGCGCAAATTAAAAGTATGAAAATGTAGCACCAGTCACAGGTCAAATGCTGGTAAAATGAGAAAGTGGCTGGAATATTATGAACAAAAAAAGCCTGCACAGCAACAGTCTGACACATAAGCCCAATCCCCTCATAGTGTTGAATGTGATGTTTTTGTGTTTTTTCTGCAGAGAACACACCTGCACATTAAAAGGTAGGGGTGGAAGAGTGGGGTCCAAGTTAAACATATCATCACTCAGCAGGGCTTGCATACACAGAGCCAGACTGTCCACATCCCTAGCCATGGGTCCAGAGGTTGTCAGCACTGATTTAATAAGATGAACAGAAAAAAAGTTAACATATTTCCAGTTGACACACGTTGTGAGCATGTAACTATAATACAACTGTAACCAACCTGATTTTTGCCCTCCATAAAGGCCATTTACACCCTGCGCACTGGCCAAGAAACCACACACAAAGCCAAGAAGTGAGTTCAAAGTGTCATGAACAATCATAATTCATAACCTGAGCAAAACAGAGACACTCACCTCAACCGACCTACTGTTGGCTTGAAGCCGGAGATCCCACAGAATGAGGAAGGAATACGGATACTACCCCCGATATCAGTACCTAAGCCCAGCACGGAGCCGCCTCCCCCAATTAGAGCCCCCTCCCCACCAGATGAGCCTCCAGGGGTCTTCTTGAGGTTGTGGGGGTTCAACGTCTGACCATAGATTATGTTACTGCAGTCATAACTGATGAGGGGATAAAAGGAAACACAGATTCACTACAAGCTTAACATCTTGAGTGTAAAAACATTCTAAGAGCAAATATGATTGCATAAGTGCACAAAACGTTGTGCAGTGTTTACAGTGACCACGTGATTGAGAAATATTTACTTCATTAGACCCTGGGGCACGTTGGTTTTCACAAAAGGAATAGCTCCTTGTCTCTTCAGAACTTCAACTAACACACTGTCCTTCTCAGCAGGCAGCTCCAGATTACACAGCACACCGCAGGAGGAGTCATGATTCTTGTGTTGAAATATAAAACAAATAAGTGTTAGATTAGCACATTTGGAAGGCTTATGATTGAGTTATATTGAATGCCATGAATTTCTTCTGTGGTATACATAATTGCCGTCTTGAGAAATACTGTGGTTATAGATTAACTACCAGACATACCTTGTATGAAATGTTTTCTTTAATGCTAACTGGGACTCCGTACAAAAGCCCTTTCTTGTTAGGAACAGTTTGCAGCTGGTCAAAACTATCCACCAAAATTTCAGTGCAGCAGTTCAGTTTTTTGTTTACATCCAGAGTCTGTGGGTAAAGAACCAAAAAAACATGATAAACAGGTTCATACTGAACAATCGTTCGTTAAAATTGTTAAACACGAAAGTCTTGTAAGACTAGGTGTCCATGGGAACTGTTGTAAGCAGTTACTTTAAACTATAAATATAAAATCGTAAAAGAAAGGCATAAATGAAATATCCAGGCAAAGATCAGAAGGTAAGCATGAATCAAAGAGAGATAAGAGAGATAAGATAGTGAAGGTCCAAGCTAATCTTTTCAATGTTTAATTTCCTCTTCAGGTATGTACTGTGAATGAGCTGTTTAGTATCGGACCTTTTCCAAGTAAGAGTAGAAGACATCCTCAGGGTTTAGGGAGCCTTCCTGCAGCTGCTTGGTCAACTCAGACAGGGACAGCGTCAAGATGAGAGCAGAGTCGGTCATGGGATGCTAAAAGACAAACAGAACACACACACACACACACACACACACACACACACACACACACACACACACTTATGAATTTAAACACTTGCACAATACAAGGGCCCTGAAACTATACCATCTACACTGAAAATGACCCATGGAGAATGATAATCCAAATGTTAACTTTTGAAAACCACTCATTTAAGTGATGAATCATGCTAACACAATGATGCCATTTACCAAATGTATTAACACAAGATGTGTCTTAAATCAGCTGTTCCCTGTCTATTCATCCTCTGTGGACCATGTGATAGGTCACTAACAATCTTAATGGCTTGCAGTCTGCAGGTATACGAGGGATGTCCGTACTGCACTTTAACCAACCTCTTTTCATTTTAGCTCACCATTAACAAATTCCTTTCTTAATTAAGCTCTTGCAATATGTATCTGTTGCTTTTACCAGACCACTCCTTGTACTCCTTGGGCACGTCATGACTTGAGCAGCTACATTACTCATTTACAAATGATTATCCACAACATTTTTGATTTTTGTCTAACGTTGCCTGTCTGTTTCTCTCTGCTCGGTTTGCAACACGTTTTCTCGCTCTCGAAATGCTAACTCTTTTTAGTCTACACCCTTCTCCACAATCCAAACAATCCAAATCCAAAACCCGAACATTTCGACCACAGACTGTAGTTTCCACTTTTCCCCTGAGCCCCCCCTCCCTCTCTCTCTCTCTCTCTCTCTCTCTCACCGACTCCTTGTACTGGAGCACAGCCTGCTCAGCCCGACGCAGGCTCTCATCCCTCCTTGCTCTCGCTCTCCGGATCTTCTCCTTCGTCTTTTGGTGGTTATTGAACTTCTGCAACAGAACTATGAGCGCTCCCACACCACAGGCAGCACCTGTGACCAGAGCAGCTGTTCCGTAGTGAGGCTGCGCTTGCTGGAGTAACTCCTCTAACCCCATGGCTCCTCTGGTCGACCTCCTGCTCAAAGGAGTAGCTGTGAACGACTTAGAGCAGACTAGTAGACTGTTGTCACGACTCCTTTGGCAATGTCTCAGACCTTTAGTAGCTTTTAAGTCGCTTGGTGGGCGCGGTTAAAGACTCTGATTACGGAGTCATGTTGTCTCCTCCGCAGACCAGGAGCAGGTTTTGTCAGTAGGTCACTCCACTCGGTTAGCATGCTTTTAGTAGCCTAGTCTAGGGAAAAACGATTGGAAAGATAGAGGGCGCCAGTGCGGCCTCAACTTAGTAAAACCCTCATATTTACAAGACAAAAACAATGTTCATACTGAGCCTCTAAAGCAGGGGTGTCCAAAGTGCGGCCCTTGAGGGGATTTTTTTGCGGCCCGTGACTTGTGCCTTGATTAAGATCGGCACATGATCTTATTTTTTATTTTTCATGTTAACAAGGGCTGAACAATAGTCCTAAAATAGAAATTGTTCTGTAACATGCATGTTGTTGTTTTTTTAATCTACAGCTTATGCAAAGTTTTTGCAAACAAGCAGACTGTTGTTTAACCATTTAATGACCTGAGCTAAATGCAGAAAGCTTTTCCAAAAAAAAAAATTTAACCACGTTACAGGCTTGATTCTGAGAAAAAAAATAAAAATATATAGTAGAACGAAGAAATCTAAGTATTTGATTTCCTTTTATTAAAGGGTTTCTTTAGCGAGCCTTTTTATTCTGATCTACAAAGTCTTACTATTTTTTCAACTATATTTTAAAAAACAAAACCTGTGGCCCACAAGCGATTCTAACACGACAATTTTGGCCCGCAAAAGAAAAGTTTAAAAAAAATAAAACATAACATCTTGTGCGCTTTTTTGTATTTTGTATTTTGTGGAACATGAGGGGCTCCGTATATTCCGCACTCCTCAGTTGCCGTGACTGTTTGTGTAGGATGCCACTCTAAAATGCAAGGATGCTTAATTTTGCAGGCCACACACTTAATTCATTCGAAAACGAAGTCTTACATGCTGCTGGACTAAAGGTCATCTCATCTGAAGTCAAGGACGGGAAATATGTTGCACAAAACAAAAAATTATACCTTTAAGCACTTGCAAGTTTGCCCAAAGCTGACAACACTTTAAGTCAGTCCCAATTCATTCAAAGTCCTGAAAGATTGCAGAGTTGTCTTGTGAGCATCTCCAGATGACATCCGTCTTTTCAGCAGAACATTTTGAGGCAGGATGTAAACAAAGAAAATGTTGCACTTTTTATACCTGAAACAGCTTCTTTTAAATTACATGAATAACGATTACCAGCATGATAGTTTGAGCCAGTTGTATTCAAAGTGCCACTACATTATCAGGAGCCTTTCAAACACTGTTTTTGCAGCGTCATATCAATTTGAACTCTATGATTCGGTCCAGCTTGTCATGAATCATTTGCCAACCTTTACATTTACGATTGCAGTCATATAAAAAAACTTGTGACACACAATTACGCCTTTCCCTTTATTGGAATATGCCTCAAGGAACCTAGTTAAATATTTATGTTTCTTAACAGGAGCAAGTATAGCATAGTACACATTTAGTTATAACATACAGCAGATCCACATATGGATGTATTATAAAGCTTGTTCTCTTGGCCATGCGATGTTTGTAGGATGTCATCAGGCGGTAGTGGAACAATCAGATGGGACTTCATTTGACTGAATGGAACAGTTTATGTGCCACCTAGGAAGGAAACAAGAGGAAAGCCATTGATTCAAAACCACAACATACAGATCAAGGAAAACTATACTCAATGGTTTGAAATGATTTTGTGAAGCAAACACACGTTTGAATATTGGTTATAAGTATGTTCTGTCACATGCAAGTTATCAATTATTTCCTCTTTCACAGTACTGAAGTAATTGTTCTTGTCATATATCTTATATAAATTGAATACTTTGTTACTACACTTTGACCTTTTTGAATATCCGCTTGTGACTTCTTATGCATTGAATCTTGATCCCTCACAACAAAGTCTCTTGAAATCTGCCAAAGTCCATCCATATAAACTGAAACTGTCAACCTTAAAGCAACAATCTGTAGACTTTTGGCACCCACTGAAGGTCTCTGACTGCAACTGCACTGTAAAAGACTGTTTTATCTATTTAATCATTGAAATTTATTGTATTTCTTGTGTGTCTAACAAGTATTGATAAATGTTTAATTGATTTGTTTACTTCTTTATTTGACTGTTCATTTGGGTTTTTTTCTGAATTTGTTTCTGTTCTAGTGCACCCGGAAAAAAAGGGAAACAATTTGGATTATTGATTTGTACTGTGTCAAACACATTAGTTTTACAGTTTTTCAATAAAAGTACATCATAAAAAACCACATATTGCCTTTATGCCTGCTCTTATTGGACAAAATGCTTTTGATAACAAGCAGATTGTGCGCAGCTGGTAAAGACTCTGTGAGAAGCTAAACAACCATGTCTACTAATGAGGTATAATAATAATAATACTGGATTTTGTACACGATAACTCTGCTAGCGTCTTCGGCCTGTTGTTTGCAAGCAATTTGCATGTGGAGTATCTGTACGTGTATTAGACTGTTGCCATGACATTTACTCTATGGCTGTGTCACTGTATTTTGTGTCACTTCTAAATGTTTCAGTATGAAACAGTACATTCTGCTCCTGTTATTTCCATTTCCATCTATATTAAAAAGGAAATAATCTTCAGAAAAGGTAAAGGGGTAATAATGGATTTGAAGTGTCTAAAAATGTAAATTCTGGTTGGGGTTTTTTGTTTTGGATTTTGAAAATTTCAAAAAAATCAGAGAATCGAAAAAGACCAAGTATTTACACAAGTTAATGGTTACACTGGAGAGGGTCATTTACTATGCTAGTTGAGAAAGGTTTAAGGTTCAAAACTTATAAAAGTTAACTCGAAGAACGACAAAGGGACAGATTGATTGATTTATTAATTTGTACGCAAACCTGAAACTTAACTTGGGTTTGATGCTCTTTTGCACCCGGTAAAGCTGCTAAACATGAGACAACAATGAAACCGATAAGGATACAGCCTAATGTTACATCGAAATCGTGTATGAATATCTGCAAGGATGTACATTCTGCTTCTTGCTCGATCACACTCTCTTTTTCTTTCTGTAGCTTAACCCATCACTCACCTCCTCCTCTTAGCCTCAGCCATTGGATCAGTAAGTACAGAGACAGGCTAACTGGTTTTGTTTAAGAACAGGAAGCAGGAACAGCTTTCAGGTTTCTCATATTAAATCTTTTAAACTGAGGTGTTCTTAACAAATAGAAGGAGCTGTTCCATCTCCGTCTGAGTGTCGTCATGGAGACGATTTGTGGGCACTGCTTACAGTACAGTCTGATCGTCTTCAAAGTGAGACTGTGCGAGCGGATAATGTTTAAAGTTCCCAACCACAATTCTTGATCAGTGAATCAGTTGATCTGCGCCATCAGACTGATATCAGATATGTAAATTACTTCAATGTCGGACCCGATACGGAAATAAGATCAGATCGGTCCCATTTGTAAAGTAAACTGAATATCATCTGCAAGCTATAATTATGTGTGGGGTGTATTTAGTCTATTTCTGCAAGGTACATTTAGCAAAAGTCACACTTACACAGTGGTCTCGAGCGTGCAAGAAGTCAAAGAGCTCCTCAGTACAATCCTCCATCGTTGCAGAGCGAGAGCCAACTCTGGTTTCACACTCTTCCAGGCGTTCCCGCGTGTGAACACAGTGCTCTGCTTCTTCACACTTTTGTCGCATTGTTTCAATGGGATCCTGAAACAGAACACACAAGAGTCCCAAATATAGCAGATGATCAATACCGTCTCCAAAAATGAACATAAAACTAGACCTCATTAACTTGTATGTGTATGAATGGACGACAGTGGTTGTGAGTCCCATGCTGTAATATGTATTCTACACAACTTGTATGCTTTAATATTTAACCAGTGTGGGGTTGTCATCAATCAGTAAAAGGTGAATGGGCAAGTTACCTAGGATTCTTATTTATAGGAAGGGGCAATGTATTTATAGATAAAAACCAAATGGAGGGGGTGGCAGTGAGAAAGACCTGAAACAACCCCAGGTGGATCATGGTTGGTTATGTGAAGAGGGAGTACATATTGTCCACACATTATGGTGACACATCCTTATGTTTCTCTTCCCATTTCATGTTTTTCCTTTAGTTCCTTCATCATGAATGTCCCACTACTGATTTAGCTTTTTGGTATTTTCATAAATAAATTTAAGTGTATCAGAGGGGTGCCCAGTACTGTGATCATATGTTAACCTGAAGACCATATACAGTGACAGAGAAGATATCTTTATTATGATGTGGGTCTCACGTACCACCATGTCTTCCTCCTCTTCTTCTTCTTCTTCCTCCTGAAACAGACAGACACGAACACATTAATAACATAATTCAGCTTTAACAATGACGAACTAGTGTAGTGTGAAGTTACTGCAAAAAATAACTTCAATATATTTCTACATGACAAAGTGGGATTTGCTAATGCTAACTATGATGTAGCCTATTTAGCAGTCAAGTTAGCTTGGTAGATAAATAACAGATAGTTTCTGGTCTAGCAAAGGTGCAAATTAACATTTCAAATCTCCGTACATCCTCGGGCTCCCCGTTCATGATCATCTTCTCCTCAAAAACCATGGTTTTGTTGATCTTGTCCTTAAATGACCGGCTGTCAAATCTCGAGTGCTGGAGGACACAGCAGGTCACACAACCACAGCGAACGACGAAGAAGACAGCGACAGCTTCCGAGTCCCTGACTTTCAAAATAAAGCACTCGTCCACCCTGGGAAATTTAACAAATACATCATCAATAAAAACCTTAATGAAATATCTTCAAAATCGTTTTTTTTTTTTTTCCACAAACAGCTCGAAGGAAAACTAACCGATTTAGGGAAAATTCTCAATTTAAGATTTTTTACCAAATTATTTAACCGAACAAAATTGTACAGCCGTTTAAAAAGGGTTCAAGCAGAATTCACTTACAAAGACAAAGTAGTGAATTTCATTAAATTAACATTTTACCAAAAACTAACTAAAAACTAAAAAAAAAAAAACATTAAATGTGTTTATTTTGAAGTTAGAGTCGTGTGGTTATGTTACGTCCCCTCGGCCAGAACTGAGCTATTTACGGCTATTTACTACAACCATGCGATGAGAATTGGTACTACACCAGATGGAAATAATTACTGCATCGCAAAACTCCACGGAAGAGAGCATATATCATTGTTGGAGCCATGGGTGGATGTAATTGTCTTTGTGGTATTTATCTAAGGTTAAGGTAGTCTGTTATATGGGTCAATGACGTGACGCTCATTTTTTTTGTGTCCATAAGGTTTAGTTAACTTTTAAGGCTTAAAATTTAAAAATAAATGCACAAATGACATGCTTTCATCCTTTCTTATGAGGACCTAGTCTAAATGTATATTTATTATACATTTTAGAGAATAATTGGGGTATTAGGCTTTACATCCTGTACATTTGTGTTTTTAATGTTAATTTATTGTTGTTTGTTACTTTGTTGTTTTTATCTCTGCTCTGTAAGGTGACCTTGAGAGTTTGAAAGGCCCTTTAAATAAAATGTATTACTATTATTATTATTATTAATAATAATAATAAAAATGTCTAAGTGGTGTAACCGTTGAAACTTCGTACCAAAGAATTAAACTTGCTTTAAAAAGGTTAAATTTTCATACAACACCCTATGAACTAGCCTGGCATAATCTTACAATAGAACTGTTCAATAGTAAATAAAAGTAATGGAACATCATTGTTCTTATTATTATAATTATTTTAGGGAAATCATGTCACCCAGTCAAGTACCAAATTGTCAACATGGTGTAACCACCATTGAAGGAGCCATTTTGTTAATATATTCATCATATCATGTGACAAGAAATGTTATCACAAAGAAGAACCCCTGATGGTCCTAACTGCTGCAGGCCAAGTTTAGCAACTCTCTTTAAAACATGAGATAATTGGACATTTAATTTGGACACAAATTTGATTTGAAGTGGAAATGTCAAATGGTGTAACACTATTTGACTTTTATGACAAGCCTTTCTGTTAGAGGCCACTTTTGTCAAATATCAGTATGTTTATGTTGATTAAAGTGGTTATTCATCCACAACCTTATTATCAAAGGTCTAGGACAAAATGCCCTGGCATTTTGTAAATGTTTAGCTTCAAATTGCATATTGTTGCTCCATTTACTTACATTTATAAAGGTGCACTATGTAGTTTTGGTAGAGAAATGTTAAAGTTGGAGAAATGTACAGATTATGTGGTATATGTCCATCATAACTCTAAACACAAACTGTCCTCAGATGAAAATTTGGTCCCTGTAACACTGAAGATAAAATGCTACTGGAGAAGTTATGGTGGTGGGCCCGCAACAGTGAAACCGTAACTCTCCTGGTAATATATATATATATATATATATATATATATATGTTATATGTCCAAACAGTGTTCCAGGGACCCATTTTTTACTTTAAATAAAGTTTGTGTATTCAGTTCAGAAAATATATCAAAAAATTGTTTCACTTCTCCAACTTTCAAATTTCACAACCAAATCTACATAATGCACCTTTAAACATGTATGATCTAATATGTGTATGTATCCTGTAATATTGGCACCAGGAGTTGCATTTTAGATGTGTCGGCTATCAGGGGCCATGTGGTAGGTAGTATCAGCATGTCACTACCTGGAGCTTGCTTGCCAAAGTCTGGTACTATACAAGGTGGCAATGCTGTTTGGGCTGTGATGGCCATGATGTAAAGAAGGAGAGATGTAAAGTGTTGCCTGTGGGTATGTTATCCTTTGATTAGGGCACAAGTACCTTGAGTTTATTCCAAATACTGAAGAAATGAATTCCCCCTGAAGATTCTGGTCAGATGTTGTAATTTACTTAAGATATGAATGAATTAAGGATGCACTGATCCTGACTAAGACAGCTAGATCAGGTATCAGTAAGAATTTGCAGATCTATGAGACCCATCCAAAAGATCTATGCACTTCAGCTTTATTCAATTTCTTCAAGAAACAATGGCCTTTGACTGTAGAAGCAGTATGGTCAGTTGGTGTAACTGGTTTGCGTCAATTGGTGTAACCAGTATTTCTTGTAAAAAATATAATAATATACAGGACAATGAAAGTTGAATAAACATAGTCCTCTATTGCAGTGAAATAACATGTTTTTTTAACAATTTTTACATAATTTGCCAAAAATTAATTTGAAAACAGAGGTGGTTTCAGCTTTGTGTCCCGCTCAGTATTGAAAAAGGGCATAACTTATAAATTTAGGGATAATCCTAATAAAATCTATTTTCTTGTGCTATTTTAAAATGAAGTAATTAAAATCACGAGTACACTTACATATACTCTAGATGTATAAAATATTCAATATTCTTAATTTTTCAGTGGTTACGCCACATTTTTAGGTCCATTTAGTCTTACCTTTTGAAAAAAAAAAGTTTAAATGTCATTTTAAAAAACACAAAACCAACATGAATACAAATCTCACATTTTAATGAACCTGATGCATACTTTCAAATTGTGTTTTTAAAAGATTTTTGACTTGGTCATCTGAACAACCCTTATTTGTCACTGACCCATATATTGGTGTTTTGGGTTATTGATTATTTTATCATTTATTAGGATTGTGTTGAGTGGGGGGGGGATGTCGGGTCACATGGGTGGACATGTGTTGATTTAACTCACCTGTTCACTTTTTGTTCTCAGTGGAAGAGAGGAGGTGAGCTGGTTTGACCGCTATTGTTTCTAGTTCACTGTGATTATGAGTTAATGCACGTTATTATAAGTTAAGTTGATTATCTTTTTTACGTTAATAAAAAAGTCAAACTTATTTTGACGTGACACAGTATTCTTTTGAAAGCGCGTCGGACAAATATATTAGGCGCCCAACCTCAGCCTCTCAGCGGCTTCATTGTTCAGGAAAGCCGCTATAATCATGCTTCGTCTTTTACTTACTTTGAGTGACAGGACATACTAAGGACATGGCGCAAAAAGAGAATTTTCCTCCGCTTTATGGCAGCAGTTTCGGGGTTTGTTTTTCTGCTCCATCAACATGCCCATAATGTCCATAATATTATGTCCTTACACTACCATCTGTTGGATGAACTGAATAGCCCTTACGCAGACGGCGAGACTGGCTTGAAAGCAATGATAGGGTTTTAGAGCTGTTCAAACATTATGAGGTCTAATGCAGTGATTTGGTCCAATTAGGCTACAGAACAAATTGAGCTGTTAAGTGCAAGATGAACAAAGCTTAAACACAAAGTCCGTATAAAATGGTTTAAAGGTTTCAAAAGTGTCCAGGCAACATAGCCTATTTTGGCTTTTTTAAATAAAACACCCATTTAAAGACCATTCCCATTCAAAGAAGGGAATTTGAAAATCACAGATTTAAATATTTGCAAAGACGACACCATCAGAACAAAGTGCAACGAACACGGTACAGCAGAAGTAAAAAAAAAAAGTTGAAAAGGTAGGCTACAGATATTTAAGAAAAAGGTATGATCAATCTAGCTCTCTATTGGTCTTACTTTGGATAAAAGTACACTTTGACTTCTCTTCACTGACAAATATAAATTAACTTTCCACTATATTTCAATAATTGTTCTATGGTCACTGATTAACATGTTGTTATAGCCCTTATCCATGAATGAAGAGGTCAGAGTCTGATCCAACCAATACAGCTGGTCCTTGGCCAAGAGTCAATTACATAATGCTTCTCCCTCACAGGATAAATAAATAGGGGTGACTCCAGGAAAAGAAAACAATCACAGAGGAAGTAAGGACAGCACAGGTTTATGTTGGACTGAGTTGAGCCCTTTCTTGGATGATGGATTCTATCTTTTCTGTAATTGGATGCTTTGTCGACTGGGATGTGAAAAGCTTTTTGCTCTTCACAGTAGTTTTCATTCTCACTGCTGACTATATTAAGAACCGTCGGCCAGCCAGCTATCCTCCAGGACCTCAAGCATTTCCTATAGTGGGCAACATGTTCTCTGTCGACCACAACAGGGTCATGAGAGTATGACACAGGTAGCTCAACAAAAAACAATTAAGAAAAACAAGAGGTCAACTGAAAGGACTTATCATCCTTTAATCTCTTGTTATAACTTTGTTTTTCTTTGAATCCACTCACAGCTAGCAGGGAAATATGGAGATGTGTACAGCCTGCGGATGGGCCAGGAGTGGGTTGTGGTCTTAAATGGGTATGAGGTTTTGAAAGAAGCTCTTGTAAATCAGGGAGACAGTGTGGCTGACCGCCCACCCCTCCCTATGTTACAGGACATAAGTGAAGAACTTGGTAAGAGCATGTAACGCACACACACACACGCACTAAACACAACTAAAAACATATGCAAATGTGTGTTTACACACACAACTCAACTCACTTTTAATTCTGGCTCCTGTGTAGTCTTTAGTCAGTGAACAAGTTGATCTAAAAACATGTTGTGACAAAGTATTTCCCATCAGGTATAGTGTTCAATAGCGGGCACATGTGGAAGCAGCAGAGGCGCTTTGCCCTTTCAACTCTCAGATATTTTGGAATTGGAAAGAAGTCACTTGAACCTGTCATCTTAGATGAATTCACTCATTGTTCAAAAGAATTCCAAAGCTTTAAAGGTAAATATTCAATTACATGATCGCACCTGCAATGACAAACAACAACAAATACACAAGTTATAACTGCTTTCTGTTCCAATTTGGAGG